TATAGTCATCTATTCCCCCCCTCCACGCCCGGATTTTGTGTGGTATGTTTGGTCGGTTCGGATCCCCGCTATCGACGTGTACACTCGTTCCTTCCCATGTTTTCCCCTTTTCCTTTTCCTTTTTTTTTTTGGATTGCAGAATTTTGTTAGACATGGAATTTAATCCGCCTATGGTGTCAAAAGAAAGGATCTGCAGGATGATTCTGATGATCGATAGATAGGTTTTTTCTTTTTCTTTTTCTTTTTTTGCCTGGTCTGGACTCTGGATTCGATGAAAGTAGAGGGGTGTACTCATTTGAGCTGCCCAGTTTTATCAGATCAAGACAGCCGAATTTTGCGAAAATATGTTCTCTTTCTATTCTCTTGCTAGATCGAGCCACCTGGGAAAACTGCATATTTGGATCCAGAGATTTATTATGAAACAGTTGTAATGGCCATAAAGGGCTGTAACACATTGGAGCAGGCCGTTCTTTGTGGTGGCCTGGGTACATAGAAGTAGTGCTTCAGTGCAATTCTGCGGCAGGCCCAACATTGACAAGGTGCAAAACTCGTTGAAGTTGAAGGGTAGACTGGAGGCACATAATTATGACTGACTGAAAATCAAAAACACTAGTTCTTAGTCTTACATGGATTTATTCATCAAAAATATTATTTACTGTGCAAAACCACTTGAAGGGAAGACTAGAGGCACAACACTCTATAACTGAAAATCAGAAATGCTTCTTAAATTGATTGGCTGGGGGAAATGACAGTGCAAAAAATGGATCTTACAGAACTGTAAATACATATGAAGATATCTGATGTATGAAATTCAAGATATTGTGGGACAGTGAACCTGTGATTCATTTGAAGATGAATGAACCCAAGTAACAGAAATAATAAAGGGATACAAGCATGCTGTAGAAACAGATGGAGAAGATGGCCAGGGCTTTATATCCCTGTTTTTCATCTTCCCAGAGCAATTCTTGGTAGGCTCTTCCATCAACTTCTATGGCAAACATTTGATCAGTCTTACGGTTATCTTCTTTTGAAGGATCCAAGATTATTGTGGGACTAATATCTGGAGAAACAGATTTTGTTCTCCTATTCAACACAGAAATTATATTTTCTTGCTTAGATATGATTGTGGAACTCTTCAAGTTTTCATCTCCACTCTATATAGATTCAAAAAACCAAATTCAAATTCAACCACTCATCCAGCCAGAAAATTTTGTTATCATAAGCCTTGATATTGAACTCACAGGATCAGGATTATCAACCAATTCCTCTAGTGGTTTCTTATTTTTTTTTACAGTGCAAGCCTGGCAACCATCACCTGGGAACCCATGGTCCACTTTTGATGCCCTTGAAACTCCGGAACAGCAGAGCATGGCCCCATAACCTATCTAAAAAAAAACAAATATATGTCAGTCAGAAGAACCCTTATGAAAAATAAGACTGGGGATGAAATGGCTCAACAGCTAGTGCTATTAGAAACTTGGAAACCATTTTAAAAAGCTCAAATGTGATTAAGAAAGATAGGAATGAGTGAAAATTTGGATTCAAGGGATGTTGTGTGGTGTGTTATCTGACTGAAGGATGGATTTATGAACTGTTTCAGAAATGAAAAGGTTCGTGACTCTTAACTAAAACCACTTGCACCTCATCTAAAATTTGTAAGCGTTGAAGCTTTTCAAACTTGTGTCAGTAATCATCTTTTCCAAATTCCTCAACCAGACATGTAGGATTATTACCCACAGAATAATGATACATGTCTTGTTGAAGGGGGTGAGAGTGATGTGAGTTTTTTTGGATGAATCTTGTATCAAACTGTTTTACAGCAGGATTCAAGGCATTGCAATTTGTGCAATTTGACAGGGAAGCAAAATATGTGCATCCTACAGTGAATAATACAACAGAGTTTGTATTAGACCTGAGTGAAGCTGACAATGAGGAATGGGAAGTGAAGACTGTGAAAAATGGGACAGCTTAGGTAAAAATGACCTGCATTTAGGCACTATATGAAATGGACAAGGTAACTTGACTCATATTAGCAGGGTTTATGATTGAAATTTATAAAATTTTAAAGCTTGTTTTAAGGTGTTTATAAATACTAATTTTCAAATTTGAAGAGTGGTGTGGATTGTTCAGAAACGCTCAAATCGATCCAACTCATGAACTTGTTAAAATGTGGTTGATAAAGGCCTTAAAATTGGCTTTAAAAACTTCGAAATTTCAATCATGAACCCCGTCATTCTGTTCTGAACTTGAGTTCAATTCAAACCACCATCCTAGATTCTTCTTTCAGACCTGAAACTACCTGGTAGTACCATTAAAATATATCAAATCACTGATACAAATTTCCATTTAGGTTTGAGAGCATATTACCAACAGTGGGCCAGTTACACTAACCGTAGTGTTAGTGTAGCGTAACCTAGCGGAATTACACTAAAATTTAGCGTAGCGTAGCGGAATTCTGCCACATCTGCACTAACACTACGCGCAAAGGGCGCAACAGTGCGCTAACAGTTAGAAAAATTTGGAATTGCATTAACGCTACACGGACAGGGCACTTTTTTATAGGGGGTTGGAAAAACAACTCCCAAAAATTTGCTGACGACTCCCATTTTGGTCAAGGGGTTGTTCTTACAAATTGATGGCCGACTTTGGGAGTGGGCCATAGGGTTGACCATGCCATAGGGTGGGGCGCGCCAAAGTGTGCCTGCCCCCCGTGCGCATACATGGGTCCCCAAAGTTCCTGAAAATGGGGGTTGGCGCTCACCTGACTTTTAACCCTACTTTTGAAGGGCCCCTGAGATATCTTGGACCGGATTCAATTTTTTATGGATTTAAAATTTCCCATCTCAGTCTCTCACCACTTGGGATTATGCAGTTATGGCCTCTGAGCCAGCCAAAGGCGCCATGCTCTGTCAGTTTGACAGGCGCCCCCAGGCGCGCACCTCTTGTAAAGGTCAACCCTTGTAGATTACCGGAGCGTAGCGGGAGGTTACAGGGTCCGTAAAGGGGAAATTGGCTTGCCCGGGGCACGGTGGAATTAACACTACATATGGGCCTATACAGAATTTCCCCAAAGGGAGATCTTGTAAATTTTAGGGAAATTCTGTAAACATTGAAAAAAAATCTGAATTTTTTGGATTTTCTGAATTTTTAGATTTTGGATTTTCCAGATTTTCAAAATTGTAGATGCTCTAGATATTTTATATTTTTCAGAATTTTTAGAATTTTTAGAATTTTTAGAATTTTTAGATTTTTAAATTTTTCTAGATTGTTTGGCATTAGAGTTTTTAGATTAAAAGAATCTGCAGATCCTTTTTTTTCAGATTTCTTTTAGATTTCTTTTTTAGATTTTTTTAAATAAAATCTAAAAATTCTAAAAATTTCTAAAATTTCTAAAAAATCTAAAAAATCCAAAAAATCTAAAAAAAATCTGAAAAATCTAAAATATCTAGAGCATCTACAAATTTGAAAATCTGGAAAATCCAAAATCTAAAAATTCAGAAAATCCAAAAAAGCCAGTTTTTTTCAATGTTTACAGAATTTCCCTAAAATTTACAAGATTTCCCTTTGGGGAAATTCTGTATAGGCCCATGTGCTAGTTGTGACGCCTCTGCGATAGAAGCAAATACGGCTAGTCCCTTTCGGCAACAATGAAAATGATGTGATGCATGCATAGGTATCACATCGTATTGGGCCTTTATCGCATCGCATCGCAAGAGTGATGCGGGGCCCCGCATCACATTGCTTGCATTGGATTCTTCGATACAGTGTATCAGTATTGCATCGGCAAAGCGATGCACTATAATTTGGTGGCATCGGTTTGCATTGCTTTCCGATACAATGCTGATGCAATGCATCGCTTTTTCAATGCGATGCTGATGCAATGCATCACTTTTTCAATGCAATACCAATACACGGCTATTTATCGCATCACATTGTTTCACCGTTGCTTCCGGGACGAGGTTGAGAAAACCAAGACGTGTCAAGCTCAATCCGGACGGCTCTCCCCAATAGGATCGGACTACTTCACCCCCTCTTAAACAGACCACCCTTATTGGCTCTCTCGCTCTTCACTCTGTCACCTGCACTCAGACGAAGACCCTTCCCTTCTGACAACTCCTCCATCCTGATTAGAAACCCCCTAGACTTTCCAAAATTAATCCCATCCTTTTTTTCATCACCACCCACCCACCCTGGATCTGAGTTTGTACCCCCTTGCCCGTATGGCAAGGGAACTTTTTGTTTGTTGTATGCAGGGGCCTTCCTCCCTCTTAGGGTCTCACCGACGTCCCCACCCTTCACAGGGTGGTTGACGCAGACGGGGGGACAACCCCCGCTTTATAAAATTTTAAATCTTGTTTGAAGGTGTTTATAAATACTAATTTTCAAATTTGAAAAGTGGCATGGATTGTTCAGAAACCTTCAAATTGATACAACTCATGAACTTGTTAAAATGTGGTTGATAAAGGCCTTAAAATTGGCTTTAAAAACTTGAAAATTTCAATCATGAACCCCGCAATTCTGTTCTGAACTTGAGTTCAAATCAAACCACCATCCTAGATTCTTCTTTCAGACCTGAAACTACCTGGTAGTACCATTAAAACATATCCAATCACTGATACAAATTTCCATTTAGGTTTGAGAGCATATTACCAACAGTGGGCCAGTTACACTAACCGTAGTGTTAGTTTAGCGTAATGTAACAGAATTACGCTAAACTTTAGCTTAGCGTAGCGGAATTCTGCCCCATCCGCACTAACACTACACGCAAAGGGTGCAACAGTGCGCTAACAGTTAGCGTAGTGTTAGGGCAAAAATTTGGAATGGCATTAACGCTACACGGACAGGGCACTTTTTTCTAGGGGGTTGGAAAAACGACTCCCAAAAATTTGCTAACGACTCACACTTTGGTCAAGGGGTCGTTCTTCCAAACTGATGGCTGACTTTGGGAGTTGGCCATAGGGTTGATGGCGCCAAAGTGTGTCCGCCCCCCGTGCGCGCACACGGGTCCCCGAAGATCCCTTTTAACCCTACTTTTGATGGGCCTTGGACCGGATCCAACCGGATCACACCGGATTCAATTTTTTATGGATTTAAAATTTCCCATCTCAGTCTCTCACCACTTGGGATTATGCAGTTATGGCCTCTGACACAAGCACTATGCATTGTGGCAGAGGAACCTTGATTTTTGAGCTTTTTTGACGGCGGCCAGCTCGCCAGGGCGCCGCCAGCCAAAGGCGCCATGCTCTGTCAGTTTGACAGGCGCCCCCAGGCGCGCCGTCAACCCACTGGTGTAGATGACCAAGCCCGGCACGTACTGCACCAACCTCCACTTTGACTGACTGGAAGCAACTTCGAATCATTCTTGAACGCGTCCATGGATCCGAGTAACACATCAGGAGAAGAGAAACATTGGCCACAAGCTGGTACGTTCTAGATCATCAATACAAACTCTCAGAAACATTTACTGAATCTGCCCAAAACCCCTGAAGATTTGGTTGTTATAAAGTTCAAAAGTCTTGGGAAACAGTTGGGAGTTCAACCAATCAGCAATGAAGATCCTCACTCGAGTGTTATTCAAGACAATCTTACAATCGATGTAGAGATGTCAGCAGGTACCTGTTTGCAGGTACCCGGTACCTGTTTGCAGGTACCCGGTACCCGTTTGCAGGTACCTGTTTTCCAAAGCAGGTACCCGGAAACAGGTACCGGGTGCGGGTGCGGGTGTCAACATTTGTGGTAAAAAAAGGCAGGTACCCGGATACCCACCTTACACCCTCCCTGGGAATGCTTCCCCTGAAGAATTTAATTTATCATTGGTGGTCCAAAACTCCCTTTTTTGGGTGTGTTGGGCTGCACAAAGGTGTCAGCAACCCATGTAGGACACCAGCTGGTGTCTTACATGTGTTGCTGAACTAATCTGGTTGCTTTGTTGAGGTTGGAGGGTTCCCTCCGGCCTTTGAGATGGTGTACAGTCTTGATGACTGGAGGAATTCCTCCAGTCATAAAGACGGTGTACAGTCTTCATCAATGGACATTGAATAAGGCAAATGAGGCCAAGCAAAAGGGTAAAGCTAAAGATAGATCAGAGAGAAGATAAAATTCAAATTGGTGATGGAATAATTTGTTTTTCTTTATTTCTTTATTTTTATTTTATTCTTACTCATATATCTAGTGAATATCAATCTTATATTTACCAAGTCATGCAGAAATTCATGGGTGAGATTTCTGGGTATATTTGCCTGCAAAAATGTGCCAGGTACCCGGGTACCCGCCCTGGCTGCCCTAGCAGGTGCGGGTGCGGGTGCGGGTGTCAAAAATATTGGATTTTTGAGGCAGGTACCCGCACCCGCTACAGGTACCCGGGTATCGAGCGACATCTCTAAATCGATGTAATGGACGCGAAAAAAGATCTCTTCAGAAAGCTACACTCGTATCTGATACCGCAACTAAGACGTCAAATGAAGGATATTTTGCCACCATTGGATCCGAATACGATTCACCTAATAGAAGATCCAGGTGCACAACTCGAGATCATCTTGGGGATCCAATCCGAGCTTGAGCGGACTTTAAATCAAATTCAATCCACAGTTGCTATGCTCTGTCCACGACAACTACCATATACATGCCGAAACAATGACCAACATCGCAAAGAAATCAAATCTTTCCGAGTAGAAGGCTTGTACAATCGGATCAGGGAAGACTTGCTGCCAGAAATCTTGCGGTTTTTTGACGGATCTGTGGATCTTATTCAAAAAATGAAACTCACTTCAAATAAATTCACCAGACACCCTGACGTAACTTCCATAAGAAAAATGATTCTCGATCAAGCATTTTTATTTTTTGAGGCTGTGGATTTGACAAACGCATGGTTAGAAGGATCCGAGTTTGATCTTGTACGATACGATTGGCCGAAGGAGATACGCGGCATTAATGAGAGTCTGGAAAGGCTCTTGAGCCTGATCAACGGAACCGCACACTTGGAACAAAGAAATAGAATGTCTGCACCGCTCAGCGATCCGGCCGTCCAGCTATCCAAATCGCTATTACCAATATTCAAACTGTCCAGACTATTCCTCAACAAATTATTGAATCAAAGATTGAACAGAAAACGCCTACCATTGTTCACAGAAATGTGTTCCGATCAGCTGCAGATTCTGGGCGACCTGGCTTCAAACGTCGGCTTGGAGTTTTACGAGGTTTTGGAGGTATTGAAAGTGGTCGATAGACCTGGCGACTTTTTTGCTCGTCTTAACTGCACTCAAATAGCCACATAACTCAAAGATGAAATTGAATCAGCTTTATTCCTTATACCGATTTATTTCCTTCCTCTGTTCCCGGACACCAAGGGTTTTCCAATCCAAAGCCACTTCAAGGCTTGGTTTGTCTCATGGTGCACTCAGTTCAGTTTGGCCATTCAAAACTTTCTAGAAGCTGCTGAATCGTTTGACCAAGGTGCATTATAGGATTCACGTTATCCTTGTCTCTCTAGCGATCTCAATTTCTTGATTACTTGACAATTCTAGAATAACCAAATTGTGTCAACTTTCGTTTTCCTCATCAGTGTTCTGCTTTAAATTCTGTATAGATATTTGCAGTACCTCATCCATGGCCCTGCTTTGCCGTAAAGGCATTGACAATTGTCTCAGTTTAATGAGAAAGAAATCAAAAGGTTTACACCTCAAGCTCGTCTTGGGGATCCAAGCAGAACTCTGATGACCAGCACCTCAACCAACTCTTAAATCCTACAGACTGCGCCGCCTGGAATGTTTGATTCAATCGGAGTTGTCAGCCCAACTCAGAAACATGTGTAGCTTGTCCTACAATCTTATCCAACAGGCTTTTAATAGAAGGCTCCAATCGCTACAGAGCATACACGGTCGAGCATACTCGTGTCGCCATTAGATTGATCAATTCACTGATGCACTGACTACAATGCTATGAATTTTAAATTGTTCCCTTAGCCACACAAAGGGTACATTATTGGGGACACTCTGGAATCTCTCTTGTGTGTGACCATTGAAATACCATTCTTGAAAGAAGAAAATTGACTGAAGAGCCACCTCAGTGAAACAACCATCCTGCACTTGGATAAATTTCTGATAGCAATGGCAAAACTTTCCAGACTGTTTTTGATCAAATTCTCCCGGGGGAAGAAACAAAATCAGCTTCCTATGATGTTGTTTTTGATCAAATTCTCCCGGGGGAAGAAACAAAATTAGCTTCCTATGATGTGTTCCTCTCAACTGGCATCTATCAGAGCATTAACCATGATCTACATCTACTTCAGCATCCCGTCAGACTCATACTCTACAATGTCATTGTCAACAACATGTAAAATTTTAAGAATTCAACATGGTGTTCAATTTGCCTGATGACAAAATTCATTCACCTATATTCACAAACACAACCTTTCCAAACAGTCTCAGTTTCCTTAATGTCACAGTGGAATATTGTCCTTATTTTGGCATTTTGAGTATACTAGCCTACATGTACAATGCAGGTTATAATAACACATACTTTGAAATTGAACACAACAGTTTTCTTGACTGGGCTTCCAATTGGTTTGAATGAAATGGAATTAATTATTAAACTGCAAGACTCATGCACAATCTTTGGACAAGTACTTTGTTCAAAATATACTTCTGTTGAATGGAACTTGACCAATTCCTTTCTCTGAACTGTGTTCTCACTTGGTCTATTCTCTTTTGAGCCAAGCTGCAAAAAAGTCATGGGGATACAACTGATGATTGATCTATGATGTACTGAGAAGGCCTGCCGCGCCGCGCAGCTTGAGGCAGTCTTTGTGGATGATCCCAGCGCTAGGGATGACAGCGCCGAAGTGCTCCCGCCCCCCGGCTGCGCGCCCGGGGGGTCCCCGAAGTTCCTGAAAATGGGGGTTAGCGCGCACTTGACTTTTAACCCTACTTTTGAAGGGCCCCTGTGATATCTTGGACCGGATTCAATTTTTTATGGACTTGAAATTTCCCATCTCAGTCTCCCACCACTTGGAATTATGTAGTTATGGCCTCTGACACAATCACACAGCTTCCATGTCCGCTCTCAGCAGATGCAATGATCCAGAAACGGTAGGCATATGCATTGTAGCACTTTCAACCTTGATTTTTTAACCCTTTTGACGGCGCCCAGCTCGCCGGGTCGCCGCCATGCTCTGGCAGTTTGGCAGGCGCCCCTAGGCGCGCACCTGTTGAAAAGGTGGCACCGTCAACCCGAGTTGGCCATCAAATTATTTTTTAATTTTTATTTTTAGGGAGTTGGCGCCCCAAACCACCCCTCATGCTTGATTGGGTTTGGGAGTCGTCGCTCCCATGACCGGAAGGATTTTCTTGCGGGCAATGAGGTTAACAACCTCACCAGCCAGAAGGGATTCCTTCCGGCCAATGAGGCTCTTATACCTCATCAACCAGAAGGAATCCCTTCCGGCCAATGAGGCTCTTATACCTCATCAACCAGAAGGAATCCCTTCCGGCTGATGAGGTTGTTATATAATATAGCAAAGAATGCAATTAAAAAAGAGTTACAAGCTGTTCAAATTGAATGAATTGATTGACTGATTTAATTCATTCAGCACTTGAGAGACTCTAAGGCCCCATTCCTTAGCCTTTTGAGGGGCATGATTGAGATCCTTGACATGCAGGACGAGTCTTTCGAAGCAATCAGGATGATAAGACTGGACTGCGTTTCTGATGATTTTCTTCCTTTCCGCAGTCGTTGAGGGATTGTTACTAGAGAGAAGACGGCCAACCAGGAAGTTTTTAATTGAGTGGACATTAAATTGTTTGATTTCTGGGAGAGTGTATTCTTCTGATTGAGTACACGGGTAGATTGGCCAGGGAATCTCCTCAAACTTGATCACCTGTCTGCTCTCTTCCTTCAGCTTCTGTTGTGTGTCTGACAATCCTCCCTGTTCCCCCTCCTGCGTCTCCTCAGCCTTTGAAGATCCATCAGAATTCAGTAGACAGTTCAACAGCTCCCAGTATCAAGTGTACCAGTCTCTAGCTGACTGTTGCTGGCTCTTCAGCTTCTGGTTTGTCAGTTTGAGTGCCTCTTGTTTGGCCCGAAGTTTGTTGTCTGCTCTATGTTTTTTGCAAGCCTCATGAGCTTCCTCACAAGCTTTTTTTTCTGCTCTCCTTGATCTTTGAGATAAAGCTTATTTTTCCGATTTGATTGATCCAGCATGAGGGGTGGTTTGGGGGGACGACTCCCTAAAAATAAAAATAAAAATATCAAAAAATTAAAAAAATAATTTGATGGCCGACTCCCAAAGTTGGCCATCAGTTTGGAAGAACAACTCCCGCCCAAAAACTCCTCAGCCAAAATGGGAGTTGTTTTTCCAACCCCCTTTTCCTACAATGCTGTACAGTGCTTTTTAGCATATTTTTAGCCTTTTTTGCCGCTAAAAGCGCTGTAGCGTAGCGTAATGCAGCATAGTGGTGGTAGCAGTGCGCTAACACTACAGAAAAAAAAATCTGTTAGTGCTGCTACATAGTCAGGGTGTAAATGGGTCGGGTCGACCCGAAGCCGACCCGAGACCCGACGGGTCATGGGTCGGGTTTGGGCAGACTTTGTGAGAAAATCACATGACCCGAACCCGACCTGGAAGCTTAGCGGGTTGGGTTCGGGCAGGTGTTTTGATAGTCGGGTAGGTAAGTTTTTGTCATAATTGCTCTACAAAGGCTGAAATACTTGGGTCGGCCCGAAGCCGACATGCAAACTGCCGACCCGAACCCGAAAAGTCTCAAGACGGGTTCGGGTCTGGGCAGCATATATTCAAGCTTGACCCGACCCGACCCAACCCGACATAAGTGTCGGGTTGGGTTCGGGCACTGTTTTTGGGCCCAAACCCGACCCGTTTACATCCTGACTACAAAGTAGTGTAGCGGGGCGCTAACACTACACAAAAAAGGGCCACATTTTGCGCCGCTAGACTAACGCTATATGGCCCTGTAGTGTAGTGTAGTGTAGCGGCCCACCACTGATATTACTGCATGCCAACTGGGAGTAGTTACTTGGAGTTGTTCTTGTAGTGATGCTTACAATGTCAAAAGACACATGAAGGCAGCACAATTGAATTGAACTCAAATCTCACATCAGCAATCAAACCTGCTCCTAATTAAAAAGGAACAATGAATTTGATTCTTCTTGCTGTTATCATTAATTGCTACATCTTTTCAACCATTCCAGGATTCTGGGGCCATGGATACTGCTTCATTGATGGCAATTAAATTGCTTCCCAGCTGAATCACCCAGCCGCTGTGGAACTGCTCAGGAAGTGAGTAAAGAGCTTGGAGGGGATAAATATAAATAAAATTTTGATTTAGTAATATTAATAGATGGGTGTGGGTGAGACTTCCCTCCTTGTCTAGCTTGTGAGAGAGTTACACTAAGAAAAATAATAGTGTGGTAGATTTCTAAATATTATCCTAGTGAAGATACTACCTGTTGAGGATGTTGAGTTGTTTTATAAAGGGTGGATGGAATGGTCAAGAACTTCTGGTGTTATGAGATATCTGAGGGGTTTCTGTTCTTTACTTTCTGGACTCTCTGGTCTGTGAAGACAATATCTGGATCTCTGGTTTGATCTGGGTTCTTAATAAAGTAAGTATTTATTTCTTCAATATCTTCTGTTGAGGGTTTGAGAAGTGTTAAATAAAACCATCTTTATTATTTATCAGGGTTCAATATAAGGGTGAGGAGTAAAGGGTTTAGTAATATCTCTTATTACTATTCTGTATCTGATATGAGGGCTGATGAAAGCTAAGTAATATATCTAATTACTATTCTCAAGCTAGCATGGGGAGGAAGGAAAGAATACATGGGCCAGAAGGGCCTCTATTTATAGACAAAATCTTTGGTGGGGTGGTAAACAGCTTCACTGATGAGAATGATTGATCTGACTGGGTAATGACCATACACTGCTAATTTAATGATGTCATGCTATGAATTTAATGATCTACAGCTGTGAACTTAATGATGTGCAGCTGTGGAGTTAATGAAGTGCAGCTGTGAAATTAATGACCTACTTCTTATATGTTGGTCAATGATGTCATCTGTGTGATTAATAATCTTGATGTTGTGAAATAATGATGAGTGGCTGTGTAATTAATGATGAATGGCTGTGAAATTAATTATTAATGATCTGCTTAATTAAGTAATAAGATCTGCTGAATGATTTTATGATATAATATAATATTATTCTATTCCTTCTGAATGGTTTTCAGCTTTATAACATTATGTTATTTCTAATTCCTTCTTGACCATTCTTGTTATGTTGTGTCATTTGAGATAATTAAATAAGATCTGATATATACCTTTTAATCTTCCTTGTATGTTTTATACCTTTAGTCTGTGAAGTTTAAATATATATAAAATAAAATATCAAAGAAAATAACCATGATTTGAGAATAAAAAGCTTCATCATGACTGTTTGATATTATTACCTGTTTTCTTGAATTTATATTTACTATTTTAATTTTTTTTAATATGTATTTTTCTGTTTTATGGGTTTGATTGGTCTTACCACACCACAACGGCACAACTTCTGGTTTGGCAATAATGTTATATTACCTCCAAACAAGACTGTGTTATCTGTTATCACCAGGTAGTCACTATGTCAAAATAACTCCGATATGGCATTATTTGTACCGTCATAGCCCAAAGCAAATTTTTGAGGACAAATGTTTATTTATATATAAGATGAAAACAAGATACTTCTACTTTTCCTTCATTGAATTGGGACAATTGATGAAGATGTTGAAGGGCTTGGACAAAACAATTTGAAATAAAGCTTCATGCTTGAATGAACATGAGGTTAATCAAGTTGCAAAATGTGAATGATATTGCTGCGACCAGTTCCAGAAAGACAGGTAGTCTTTGGAAGTTGATGTGTCGATTCCTAAGACGTGGTTCCAGTGGATTTGTGCTCGACCGCCCGGTATTGCGGGGTTGGTGGAAATTTACGCTTCAAGATTAATGTCGGCTGACGATAAACATAACGCCATACGGATGGTTCGCAGCGATGAAGTTTAGGAGAGAGAGAACTCTCCGCGATCTTTCTGGTCGCCAAGCGCCTCTGGCGCAAGCTGGACCGCTCAAGTTCAAGCGTGAAATGAGGCAGGTCTCGATTTGCCCTGGAAGAAAGTGCAGTCATTTCAGGGGTCATGTCGACGAAGTTGGACAGCTGAGAGGGACATACCTTTCATCGCTTTCACAAGCGGCTTCCCAAATGTCAAGGTTCTTGGACAAGAGCTCTCTCGGCAATGGCGCGTAGTTTCGAGGTGGGATCGGGGGAGGTGATCTGAGTGGAAGACGGGAGGGGCCGCCGTAGTAGGTAGCCCGGCGAGCATGGTTGGATGGAACATCTCGTGAGTACTCTAGTGTGCGCGGACTGTTTGGTGGCATCTTCAGCTCAAAAAACTACAAGTGATTGAGGGAAGTTGCGAGGATTGAGTGGATAGACAAGTTGATTTTCCCGGAATTGATGCGATCAAGCGTCGATAATGGGCCGGTCGGGCAAGAAACACTGAAGGATGTTGAGTGCAAAGACACGGATTGGGATAGCAGTTTGAGAAGAGTCGTAGAGCATGTGTGGAGCTGGACCACGAGGGCGGCTGGCCTTAGAGCTGGACTATGTAGCGAGTCGACCTAGTCATGAGACTCGTCGATAACTTGATCGGCGCCAAGTGCAGTCATTTCGAACGCAGGGAAAGTAACATCTCGATAATTCTCCTGATGCAAGGGATAGGAGCTGGTGCTAGCTGGTGAGAGTCACGCTACACTAAATTAAATTGTAGATGACAGGATTATTCCAATTATTCCATGTCCTCATAGCTTCCTGGATGCAATCAGCAAATCATTAATGCTTGTAAAAACATCCATTAGTGGATACATAGTCTAGAGTTCCCGAAATTATTCCAGACCCATCCTAAAAAAAATGTCATCAGCAAGTTTCAACATGAAGGTCATCAGCGATCAGAACTGGCTATTGTGGACCGGGCTATTGGAACTTGTAGGACTTAATCCTCACTTGACAAAAGTCGCTGAGTTAACAACTACTAGTAAACTAAACCACCATGGCTTCCCAACCTCATCACTTGGTTATACATGGAAAGCCTGTGCCAAACTCACTCAGCAGCTTTTATGTACCACATTTGTGACCAAAACGCATGCATAAGCTCAACTAAAAAAACTTGACAATAGGAAGCTAAACTATCACGAAAAGATCAAGAGAACGAAGGCTTGGTGTGCATTTCTCAACTTGAAAGTTGTGGCTTCCTTGCTCGAGCCGTTTCCACCGGCGGCCTTGTTCAATGCCACCCGGGTCCAGGCTGATAAGGCCCGGAGGTCATAGAAGCAAGGGCACTTTCAGCACAGCCTCGTTAATTTTCAAGTTAGATAATACCATTGCCATCCCCCTGCATCAACTGATTCAACCATTTCAGATATGTATCTGACTCCGCACAACTATTGCCGACTACGTCCCTACTACCCAGGTGATCAATCAGGTCTGGCCTCGGCATGCAAGCTCCTGTTCCGCTGCCATGGTCGCTCCGAGCGCCTGGGTTATCAGCTTCATTGGCTTTGGTATCCGAAGCCCGAGGCCACATTTCCCCTGTCCCCATGCTCCACAATTGGCCTTCGTCAATCGAGTCGAATGTTCCTCGCAAACATCGGACACTGCAACCCCGTTGCCAGCTCACCGCTGGAAAGGTCTCGGCATGCTCACTGCTGAGACTGGTACATTTACGTAGTTGTTTTTATGGCGCGGCTCATTGCCTTCACCGAATTCGGCATCCAAGGACATGCCTCCTTATTCCGAAGCCCCTACCCTTTCGAATATTATATTCTAAACAGTTCTATCATGTTCTGTATCCTCCAATCTTGATTAATTTTGAAATGACTGAACAGGGGAAGAGTTATGTACATTGGTAAGCTGTGAGGTACCCACATCTGTCGGGGGTCTCGAAACGAGAACCCCGTCGAAGGTAACATGGCAATCGAACATAGATGTTTCTAGTTCCTCAGGTTCGCCCTCCATGCACATGCCTTGACTTTGCTTCTGGTGGCGCGCCTCTGCAAGATAAAAAGGCCCTATATTGCAATGGCTTTTCAAGCATCCAAACCATCCCCCTCCAGTACAAAATCAACCACCCAATATCCAAAGCATTTGTCCGGCATTCATAGCATTGATACAATAGCCAAGTCATCAATCCGGAATCAAAATCCTCAATTGATTACCCGCAGTCATCAGATAATCTAGCAGTATTCAAATACAAAACATCGACAGCTGTAATATTCACTCCCAAAATATAGATTTCAAGTATCAGATAACTAACTGCTTGAGGATGCAGATTATAGAATTTTTCCCAGTTTTCATATCAGTCATTCTGTTGGGCACAGCCTTGGAAGTTAAAACCAAAAAACCTGATGCTTTTAAATGTGACAAAAATCAAAAAGGACCAAAGGCTATATGCATCCTTACACCCGGAGGTGAACAACCATCAAACTACTGGGGTAAGCCTTAGTTTAATTGAGATTTTTTGGATATAAAGTTTCCTTGCACAAAATAAAATCTCCCAAGGAACTAACAGAGTGGGTTTTTTTTTTTCATCTTGAATTCTAGTGCAACTTGCA